GACGACGCTGACGAGTGCCCGCCAAGAGCGCGTACGGTGTGAGCGCGTGGGTTTGTCGGTACTACCGTCTTCTTGTGCGCATTCGTACTGTGTACATGCGCCTATACGGCCAGGAGCTGCGCACGCGAATCCAGAGCGTGGCGAGCGGCGAGTACAGCCAGTTGCTTCTGTCGGTGTTTGATGCGGCGGAGGTGGAATTTCGGTGCGTCTGCGTCGGAATCTGGTTCGACTAGTGGTGCTGCTGTGAGGAGTTCGAGCACTGTCATGAGTGACTCGCGCGCTTCTGTGAGTGGTGCTGCCATCGGCATGAGTGCTTCGGTGGATGAGAAGGCAAGCGTTTCGTCGAGTGGTGTAGTGAGCGCGCGTGCTACGGAGAGTGTGGCTGGCACGAGGAGCGTGTCTGACAGCTCGAAGACGGAGACGTCTGGCGTGAGCGGTGAGCCCAGCTCTGCCACTGTGGTGGCTGCTGGTACAGCTGCGATGAGTAGTCTTTACACTCGCCACGCACGCGAGGGCAGCAGCAGCTTGGAGTCAATGACGTTCTCTGCAGACATCGATGCGGCTGCGCAGGAGATCCAGCGCGTGTGCACTGGCGCAGCTTCTGACGAGGCAGCGCTGGCGTCGCTGCTGCTGTCGAAGACTGTGGAGCAGCGTTATCTGATTTGGTGGCGATACCGCATCCTGTTCAAGCAGAGTCTGACGGTGTGGGTGAAGAGCACGAGCAACTACGGCGTTCTGCTCCAGATGCTGGCGAGTCCTTTAGAGCAAGTGGAGGCGGAGATTCTGCGCAAGGCGACAAAGGGCCTAGGCACTACAGAGGAGTGGATCTACCCGGTGGTGATGGCTCGCTCAAACGCTGAGATCGCGCTATTGAAGAAGACGTTCCAGGAGAAGTACGGCGAGGACCTGGTGAAGGTGCTAAGCAGCGACCTGAGCGGCGATCTGAAGAAGGTGATCCTGGCGGCTATGCGTGGCGAGGTGGCCGACTTCAACGCGTCGATCCACACGAGCGCGAAGGCTGCTGCGGATGCGGATGCGTTGTACAAGGCCGGTGAAGATCGCATGGGCACAGATGAGACGACGTTCATCACCATCCTAGTGCTAAGTCCTGCTGAGCACTTGCGCAATATTGACGTTGCGTACTCAAAGAAATACAAGAAGACG